GTTCCCTTTTACTTATAGATCCCCATCAGAGTCCCCATCATAGTAGTAACAAAGACTAACAGCTCTACCACCCTGTAATCCTGTTTAAAATGAGGTTTGATACCTTATCGGCGCCCCACTCAAAGCCTCTGCAAGCCATAGGTATACAACAGTCAAAAGAACCGGCAACTCGAAAGGTTAAAATCCAATGTTCTTTATTGCAAAATATGTTGGGATTGAAAATCCAGAAACAGAACAGTTGATGCATTTCAGCCTTTGCAGGCCTTAGTCCAACTTTGAAATCAAGACCATGTTTTGTCAGCAGCAGTGAAAAATTCTCTTGGGGTCCTGCCGCTGTATTATAGGTGGTAGTTAGGGTAGAGCAGGACCTCTAGGGGGCTATGTTCATCAGGATGAGCATGTTGGTGGCAGGGCAGGGTTGGCGTTGCTCCCCTCTATGTTTCTTCAATTAACTCATTGGGTGCCGAGTTACATAAGAGGGTTCTTCTGGGCTACGTTAGGCTCCTATAACAGGATCAATTCTACTACATATGTGGGATACCATTACTCTTGTGCCATTTTCATCGATGCCCTGGGACAAGGCTGAGGACACCAATGATAAATGCTCAACCATGAGGTGGGCCTCTACTCTTAGAGATGAACACACACTATGTACACTTGCACCACAACTGTTCTCCAGTTAACTCTTGGGTCCCTGTGTAAATGTTGATCCTTCCACTGTAATTTGCAATTAGGAGGGACATGCTGAACCCTGTCCACAACCACCTGTCCAGCATTTTCTGCTACCATGCCCAGTAGCAGAGTGGGCCTCACCAGCACCTAATGCAGGCTCCGCATGTGCACTTGACCAAACTTTTGAGCTTCCATACATCTGTACAGGATGGGGACCTCTGCTGTGCAAGTCCACTCCCGCTACTGTGGGAGGAGTGTCAACAACGTCTCTCTCTCTGCTATAGGCCATTCTATCTACAACAGGTACACGCTACCAGTGGCAGATTGACAACTCATCGGGCCCCCGGGCAATAGGGGATTATGGGGCCCCTGTGTCCTTGCCCAAGCTCAAAAAAGCCTATGAAAAAGGTACCAGGGGCATCTCATGGGGCCCCCTACTGACCCCAGGGCCCTCGGGCAGTGCCGAGTTTCCAAATGGTCAGTCCGCCCCTGCACGCTACCAACAGGCTGCATGAACAGACTGTAGATGTCCATTACCCATGGTAACCACTTGTACTCTGCGCCAGAATAACTCATAAGTGCTGTCTCCTCATACCCCAATATGCTAGTGACCCAACAGTTATAGAAATGTTCCTGTTACTTGCGCTGCACTCCATCAAATGACTTCAGACCAGGCAGAAGGCAAGGTTTCAATGCTTTACTTAAGAAAGACTCTGAACATACAAAGTCCAGTGGGCAAGGCCACTGATGAACCTTTTAGCACATGGACTCTAACTTTGTAGGTATGCTGGGGCAGCACATAGCCTGAGGTAGGATTAGGGATGTAGAGACAAGAACTTCTTTATTATTTTATGGACTTTGTATGTTCGGAGTCTTTCCTTAGTAAAGTATTAAAACTTTACCTTCTGCAAGGACAGACAGGATGAGGAACTGAACTTATGAGTAAGTTGAACAATCGCTAAGCTGTCATTGATGAAATACTAAACCTCACGCAGACAGACATCCACCAGTTAGCAGAAGAGTAAAGACACGTTAGGTGAGCTACTCTTGAACAACGAATGGCCATAGAAGATTTAACTGCTGCCCTAAATAGCCTTTGTGAGCGAACACAAAATGATGAATGTTGTACTTGGATCTATAACACTTCCAGAGAAATCCCAGACTTCTGAGACTATTAATCAACATGGTACCAAGGTGGAAGAATTACAAATCCAAGCCCACTCCATTGTCAGGTATGGTTGGTATCCCTTCAAGATGTTGGGAGAGGTTGGGTCTTGGATTGGTTCTGTGATTCAATGGTTCCAAAGATTTAGGGTGATTTATCCTAATGGTTATGGTGTTTTTCTTCTTAGATAACTACTGATCAAGCTGATGCTGACAAATCTACCCAGCCTAAGGTAAAGACAATGAACATGCTGTAATGAGATATTTGTCACCCAACCCTCTCCAGTATGAAGATGCAATTTCCACTTCAGAACCCCTCCAAGATACAGACACCCCAAATCAGTGGTTGCCCTGTTGTAGGCCAGTGTCCTAAATGTAAGAGGTGTGCTCTTGAGGGGGCCCTGACATATGAAATGACATGGAATAGGTAGTTAGGGTGATCAATAAATTCTCAAGAGGGGGAAGCTGAGGTGGCAAACAAGATGGCTGTTTAGGGACAAAATGGCTTAATTGTAATCTGTGCTTGTTTTTTTCCTTCACATGTACACTTGGCATATTGCGAAAAATAATTCTGATGACTTACCGAAACTTACAGTTTATGTTTGCAGAACCTGTGGCAAAGAAATCCCTGGAAACAGGTATCTGGGCACTATTTTTGAATGGCACGTTAAGCCACAAGAAATAAACATCCTCTTATGATAAACTTTTCGATGAACCATGATCACAAGACAATTAACTCAATGTTTGCTGTAATTATATTATTCTCTGATTGGTCAATTTTATATCTTGACACAACCTGCAATACATGATACATGGCAATCTGTATACTTAATCTGAGAGCGTGTGGGTAGGTGCAGCATGGTGCAGTAAACACTGATTGCAAATAACAGACCTGTATTGAAAAAATGGCCCAAATATACAAACAGCCCAGGGAGAAGACACCAAGCTGGGAAACACCCACAGTTCTGTGCAACTTGTAGAGTGGAGAAGGTTCTGATGCAGACAGCGTCTGTCTCGGAGAGTTGAATGTGGCCTGGCCAGTCTGACCCCAGAGGGGAAGATTCCAATGCAGGATGGCGTGTCCCTAGCCTTTCCCTGCTCACCTCCAGACCTTCCCTACCGCTATTCACATTCCCTGACAGACAGGTGCTCTGTCCCTTCACTAGCCACTCATGAAATGGGCTCCATCTTGCAGTGGAGAAAAGAGACTGCACCTGCCTACAAGCATGCTGAAATAAAACAGAACAATTTACTCATCATACTTGAGCCTATCTGGCCTCTTTGTAGCTACAGGTACGTTACGGGGGAGCTTTACTAAAACTAGTCCACTCAGAATCTGGTGCAGCTGTGCATGGTAGCCAATCAGTGTCTACCTTCAGCTTGTTCAATTAAGCTTTGACAATCAAACCTGGAAACTGATTGGTTCCTGCGAAGAACTGCACCAGATTTTGCACCATGCAGTTTAAGTAAATAACCCCCATTATCTCTCGAATGGGGTATCGCTGACTAACAGAGGTCAAGTATCTGTGCCAGAGTTGAAAAATCCCACAGGATGGTAAAAATGGAGGACAAATACTTGAGGACTTCTCTTGCTTTTGGAAATGGAGGATAGAACAGAAAAATAGATATTACTATGTTATTAAGCAGAGAAAGTAAAGCCATGACTATCCTGCATTAGACCCTAAAGGATTAATAGAGCAGTTCAGGATTCTAAACAAACAGTTATACTCACCTAGGTGGATGTTTCATCTGCCCCCACCACTTCTAAGGCAGAGAGTGATCAAGCACCGCAGATCGCTCAGTTCTGCAAAGAGCCAATGACTGTCAATCACTGGCTCTCTGCCTTGCCCCTCCTGTGAAAGGGGTGGGAAGGGCTAGCTCAGGATCTCAGCAGAATGCATCTGGGCAGACCCCGACAATATGGCCTGGATCCTTCCAGAGCCTGGATCAGTTCTGTGACCTCAGTCTAGAACTCGCTGTTGCTGGAAAATGGGTCACAAGAGTGCACTCTTGTGACCCACAGGAGAAATTGGCCAAAAGAGCTTTGGCCCTTCTTTTCAGTTAAGACACTGAATCACCAGGATTGACCCCATATAGTCCTCATTATCCCATATCACAGACACCAAGTTGGTGTCCTATGGGCTCCTCACTAATGCACAGAAAATTCCAACAAATACTCTCCAAAATCTTGTTAAAAGTCTTCCCAGAAGAGCGAGGAGGGCAATGATAGCTGCAACAGATGGATTGACTCGATATTAATGCCTTGGTTTTGGAATGTGATGTTTAACAAGGTGCGATCTTCTGGTATCCATATTTCCTAATTGCCAGGCATACAATGCTAACCCCACTGGTTTCAGTACTTGGAGTCACTGAGAAGGACTTATTATGCAGATCAGGAAATTCTAAGAAAATTCAGTTCTTATCTGCCTACTTCAGGGCCTGTAACTCAAAATATCAAAGCCAGAGAATGAGAATGATGGCAAGGTCAGCAGGCAGCCACCATTTTTTTTCTTTAAAAGGTTGGCCTTGGTTTTGAAGAGGTCACTCCATAAAAAATTATACTTCAGTCAGGGCGGACTGACCATTTGGAAACTCGGGCACTGCCCGAGGGTCCAGGGTCAGTAGGGGGCCCCATGAGATGCCCCTGGTAACTTTTTCATAGGCTTTTTTGAGTTTGGGCAAGGACACAGGGGCCCCATGATCTCTTATTGCCCGGGGGCCCCATGAGTTGTCAGTCCGCCCCTCACTTCAGTTACAGATGGAGTCCATGGGAAGAAGAGACCAGTATCTTCCCCTGTCTTTTGCTGTAATTCCTGGCTGTGCTCCTGATTTGGCTGTTCCCACCCACCTTGTAGAGTTTCTTCTCGCACTCTACATAAACACTAAAATACAACCAAAGCAGAGAAAAAGTCATACAGCCACATTATGTGTATGGACCTGGGGCCGAAAGCCCAAAGAGCTCATAGTCATAGCATATTGTTAGGCAGTTTATGACCCCAGTTGTTGCTCGCAGCTCAAGTGTCAGTTTTAGGAGGACTGATCCTTTAATCTACAAGGCAACGGCTTACTAAACCACAAAGCAGAACCTTAGGCTAAGCTAGGTGTCCTCAAACCAGCTGCAGATACAGACAGACAGACATGAATTAGGTAAACAGCAGACTTACAGCACAGGAGAGGAAGTAGAAACCAGAAGGTAAGATGGCCGCCCATCTTTAGACTATCAGCTCCTGGGACCGTCTCTTTCCAAAGGGCCAACAGCAAAGAGAGCCTTGTAAGCTTGGTGATATTTAAAGATGGGATGTGTTACTTCCATATGGAAGATAGTATCATCTTCAGAGTTTCCCTCCGTCGCCCTCCGAGAGCTCGTCCCCACTGACAAGGATCACATGCAGCTGTCACAAATTAATGACAGATAAAAACCCCTCCATTAACCTTTTCGTGGTTTCATGTTTGTTGGCCTGTCCGTAGGCTGTCTATGTTTATAAAGTTGTTGAAACTTATTGAAATTGGTGTGGATTTCCCATTCTTTTCCAGCCTAAAAAAATTATGGAAAATTGCTTCTGAATATTATATACACAGTAGTCTTATTTCACAAAACTTTACACAAGAAGAAGGACCTTTATTTTAGCCATGTAACTGAAAGTTTGAAACTCATCCAATCTTAGCTGATAATAAAAATTGTAAAAATATAGTGAGCGCTCTCAATAATTAGCAGCTGAACATTCAAGGAAAACGCATAAAAGTCCCAAGAAATATATATGTAAATAAAATGCAGCGCTATTAATATATCACGAATGGTAATGATGAGACACAGTCCAGTAAAAGGTGCTCGTTGATTCCCGGTGCAAATGATAGAAATTCGCACTAACCAGAAGCGTATAGGTAATACGCATGTGAATAAATATCCTGAAGATTCCCCTCTCTTTCTGGTCTGATCACGGGAATAGCTGGAAAGAATGAAGATCAAGCGCCCTCGTGTGGTGAAGATGTGGTCCAGCAGGTCAGAGAAATCTTTAGGTGGAGCCCAGGACGCCGTTAACACTACGCCGCCTGTGCCACGTGGAGGCCCGGCGGCCATCTTTGTATTTAAAGGCCCAAGTGATTCCTGTGTCAGCTCCGGAGAGGGGGAACTATATCTTGGTAAAGATTTCTCTGACCTGCTAGACCACATCTTCACCACACGAGGGCGTTTGATCTTCATTCTTTCCAGCTATTCCCGTGATCAGACCAGAAAGGAGAGGGGAATCTTCAGGATATTTATTCACATGCGTATTACCTATACGCTTCTGCTTAGTGCGCATTTCTATCATTTTCATCGGGAATCAACGAGCACCTTTTACTGGACTGTATCTCATCATCACCATTCGTGATATATATTAATAGCGCTGCATTTTATTTATATATATATTAGCTGATAATAGTTGTCATTTTTTTTGAAAATAGGAAACTACTCTATCTATCTATCCATTCAGTCATATCCAACCCTTGGCGATTGCATGGACCGTCACTCGTAAGCGACTTTTTCCATGAATTGTCTTAGCAATTATTTTTACAGGGTAGGTTGCCAGGTCTTTCCCCAACCCCTACCATGCAGGAGATCCCACATGGCCAGGGATGAAGGAAACTACTACTCTGGTGTTATAGGTTTGTGAATTGAGCTGAGAGAGAGAGCGAGAGATAGATGGATGGATGAATAGATAGATGGATGGAACTGTGGCAACTAATCAATGAGTTTGATCAACCAGGTGTGAGATGGGGAAACAGCTCTCATTGTTTGAACACTGATTGTGTGCAGTAAATTATTGTGTGGAGTAAATTAATGTTTTGACTGACATTCTGCGGTTTAGCCACAAAATGTCACTTTTTCTAACACAGGCTCAGACTGCATAGATATTTGTATATTCATGAAGAGGTGGAGTTTTCACACAGAGTTGGGTTTTTTTAGTGAACAGGAAGAGGAGACTGCAGCCATGTTTTGGACGATGCTGAATGCAGGGGCAGTGTGAGCTGAGAATCCGATGACATCCAGGTGTGAAAGCGTCCTTCACTAACCAAAGATTGCTGCCAAGAAGGCTGATGAGAGCAGAGGAACTAAGCAACATTTGTTCTGTTCAGAGTCACCAGCGGATGAAAAGCAGACCCGGGTCGGTAAGATCGTGCACGCACCTCATTTCAGTGTTGGCGCCCAGAGACTGAGTCCAGGCCGATAGTTAATTAGTAAGGGCTCTTTGTTTGTGTCAGGCCGCAAGTGTTGTTATTAATCATTGGAAGGACTCCACCACTTAAAGTGACATTTCACATTGGAGGGCTGATAAAATCCTACAAACTCAAGCCAGACTGGTGTTTTGCTCAGAAGGAATACTCAGGCACGTGCTACAGGACGAGTTATGGGAGGGGGAATACTGTAGAGTTTGTGTAAGATTGTAAGCTGTTGTGCTGCACCGCAGTCTAGCCCATACCATACACCCATACACTGATTCCTGCTCTTTTAGGGTAATAACGGGTAAGGTGTGGCAGCTTAGTTGTGCCCCCCAGTAGGTAAATTACTACACCTTCTACCTTCATCCATCAGGAGGCGCCGTGCTGTGCAGCACAAGGGTCTCAGCCTTTGGGCTGGGTGTATGTAAATTTATTGTATGTTCCCAGCATTTGTGGTTTTGTTTATTTGCCACATCTAAGTAAAATTCTGTTGTGGCAAAAGCTGGTGTTGGGGTTGCTTTCCTCGTTCGTGACTTCACTGTATCCTGGGGAGCCCACCCTGGTACACGGCTTACACAGGCTTGTAACAGGGTCCCTTTTTATGGAAGGTCCTACCAGGTGTTGCAAGGGAGCAATGTATACCCTTCATTGCTGTTTACTGGTTAGTATATAAGGCCTTTTGGAGAGGAATCAAATGGCATGGGCTTGGCCTGAGGAGTGGTGAAGGAACCAGTTTTTCTAACCAACTATGTCATCATGGAGTAGAGACATTTTGGTGTTTGGAAGGGGAGCAAGGAAATATTCATTCGGGGAGAAGGATTTGTAGCCTGGAAGCTTGCTACTTCTGACAGAAGTCCTGCTCCTGGTGATTATGATGTTGTACCGTGACGAGTTCCGATGAAGAAATGTGTTGTATAAATTTTTGTGGAAATAATTGGATTTTTTTCTACATACTTACCTGTAAACATCCATTTCTTGGAGTACATCACAGGACACAGAGCAGGCTATTCATGACTATGTCGGTTATAGGCCACCTATAGGTGAATGGACACTGGCCGACCAATCAGAGAGGAGGCCCTCCCCTATAAAAACCCCTCCTATAAAGGAAGTACCTCATGTTTTTGTAGTAAGCAATGACATTGGAGGTAAGAATGCCCTTACACTTGTGGTCATTGGGAAGAATTCAAATAAATCGATATGGACCTTCTGCGCTACTCAAAATGGACTAATGACTGCTGTTTTTTTTTTCCTGTTAAACTGTTGGGTTACTGTAAATACAGTATTTGTATTACTACTTGCCCTCCAGAGGATTTACCCCCCTTTCCTGACCAGGCTATTTCTTGCGATAAGGCGCTGCATTAATTAATTTAACTCATTTAACTATGTCAAGTCTGGGGAGGGGGCTGCTAACACCCAACCATATACCAAATGGATATTGTGCAAAATATAAAGCAATAGCCCAATTCTACACTACTCCCACACTAACCTATCCCAAAAAACCATCTGGTATATATAAATAAACAAATAAATGATGTGCCATACCAATAAACAATACGTGGGTAAATAGAATAGAATACACATAAAAAACAGCATGAATCATCCAAACATGAACTAATGGCTCGTACCGCCAAAAAACATAAGTGACTAATGTATGCCACCAGTGCAATTCAGTGAATACAAAAAACAGTCACTCACAAATCATAAATACCCACTAGTCCAAATATAGGACACAAGCTTTTTTGACCTCGCTTAACGGTTTGGTCAAAAAATTAAGGTGAGCGCATAAAGAAGGAGCCCTTTGTTGCAAAATGATCACAAAGTGGACTTTTGTGTATATTGTTATTTTTAGATATTTTTTAATGTTATAAAATTTTCATATTTTTGATTTTGATTATTTTATTTGAGAATAATAATTATTTCTGTTATCAGAGAATTTCATATGGTAACACTTAAGGTTTATGGATATTTTTCTCACCATTAATTTTCAATTGGAATATCAATTTTTTTTTATATATAATTTTGTTCACATAATATAATTAGGATTGTCAGTGGAGCGCGACACAATTTTATATTATATTGTGAATTAATAGTGTAATGATGAAGCAACGCCAGTGAAAGGAATTAACAGGAATGAAGGTCAAAAAGTCCTAATGGGACTCCAAAAAGTATGAACTATAATAATCAACATATAAAGTGAATCCCTGAAATGTGGGATCAGTTATCACCAGGGGTGGACTGACAACTCATGGGGCCCCTGTGCAATTGGGGATCATGGGGCCCCTGTGTCCTTGCCCAAACTCAAAAAAGCCTATGAAAAAGGTACCAGGGGCATCTCATGGGGCCCCCTACTGACCCCATGCCCGAGTTTCCAAATGGTTAGTCCGCCCCTGGTTGTCACACTGATAATAATGGTGACCACGACGGCTATAAAATAGCCAAAAATCCCTGAATGTGGGATTAAATTTATCACACAAAAGTGATAAGTGCAGTGATTCAGAAACAAAAATATATATATTTAAATATATAAATAAAAAACATATATATGTGATATCGCAACAAAAGTGATGTTCAAAAAAAGACCACTATGAAGGCGTCACATAAAAAAATGTCCAGGGAAATAAAGTTCAAAGATGCGTATAAAACACCAAATATTCCAACGACTCAAAAAGTGCAGGTGATATTGTTAAATTCGCATGACAACCAGAAGGAAATAATCCATAAATGGCTGAATTGCCCCCTCACCTCCTTGAAGTGACCCACAGGGCCAAAACGCCTGTAAAAAAGCAAGAATGAACTTCCATGGCCAGGTCTCCCCTTCTAGGATAATATAGGTCCGCAGCGGTGATATCCCCTTTAGTGGAAGAAGCAGCAGGATCCCCCGCAGGGATGATATATTATGATTCAGCCAGCTCACATCAAAAAGGTCAGAATAGAAACAGAAAGAGATCTCCCGTAGTGTAAAACTGTTTAATGTTGTCTAAAACACGTATAGCCAAATGCCCACTCACTTT